TTACAGAGAGTTTACAGAGGAGTACAGAGGGTACAGAGGGTTTACAGAGAGTACAGAGGTTTACAGAGGGTTTACAGAGGGTTTACAGAGAGTTTACAGAGGGTTTACAGAGAGTTTACAGAGAGTTTACAGAGGGTTTACAGAGAGTTTACAGAGAGTTTACAGAGAGTTACAGAGGGTACAGAGAGAGAGTTTACAGAGAGTTTACAGAGAGTTTACAGAGGGACAGAGTTTACAGAGAGGTTTACAGAGGTTTACAGAGAGTTTACAGAGAGTTTACAGAGGGTTTACAGAGTTTACAGGGTTTACAGAGGGTTTACAGAGGTTTACAGAGTTTACAGAGAGAGTTTACAGAGAGTTTACAGAGGTTTACAGAGAGTTTACAGAGGTTTACAGAGAGGTTCAGAGGGTACAGAGGGTTTACAGAGAGTTTACAGAGGGTTTACAGAGGGTACAGAGAGTTTACAGAGAGTTTACAGAGGGTTTTGTGGGTTTTTGTGGGTTAAAGTTGAAGTTCTGGGTCTGTCTTGTGACTCTCTGTTGCCTCCTTGTGTTTCAGTTTGTCCAGAGGTCACCATCAGGAACAAGATCGTCAAAGGTAAAAACACTTGTATGCGTGTGTTTGTGTGCGTGTGTGTGTGTCTGTGGTGTGTGTGTTTGTGTGTGTGTGTTTGTGTGCGTGTGTGTATGTGTGTGCGTGTGTGTGTGTGTGTGTCTGTGTGTGTTTGTGTGCATGTGTGTGTTTGTGTGTTTGTGTGCATGTGTGTGTGTCTGTGTGTGTGTTTGTGTGTCTGTGTGTGTGTGTGTGTGTGTGTGTGTGTGTGTGTGTGTCTGTGTGTGTGTGTGTGTGTGTGTCTGTGTGTGTGTGTGTGTGTGTGTGTGTGTGTCTGTGTGTGTGTGTGTGCTGTGTGTGTGTCTGTGTGTGTGTGTGTCTGTGTGTGTGTGTGTGTGTGTGTGTGTGTGTGTGTGTGTGTGTGTGTCTGTGTGTGTGTGTGTGTGTGTGTGTGTGTGTGTGTGTGTGTGTGTGTGTGTGTGTGTGGTGTGTGTCTGTGTGTGTGTGTGTGTGTGTGTGTGTGTGTGTGTGTGTGTCTGTGTGTGTGTGTGTGTGTGTGTGTGTGTGTGTGTGTGTGTGTGTGTGTGTGTGTGTGTGTGTCTGTGTGTGTGTCCTGTGTGTGTGTGTGTGTGTGTGTGTGTGTGTGTGTGTGTGTGTGTGTGTGTGTGTGTGTGTGTGTGTGTCTGTGTGTGTGTGTGTGTGTGTGTGTGTGTGTGTGTCTGTGTGTTGTGTGTGTGTGTGTGTGTCTGTGTGTGTGTGTGTGTTGTGTGTGTGTGTGTGTGATGTGTGTGTGTGTGTGTGGTGTGTGTGTGTGTCTGTGTGTGTGTGTGTGTGTGTGTGTGTGTGTGTGTGTTGTGTCTGTGTGTGGTGTGTGTGGGTCTGGATGTGTGTGTGTGTGTGTGTGTGTGTGTGTGTCTGTGTGTGTGTGTGTGTGTGTGTGTGTGTGTGTGTGTGTGTGTGTGTGTCTGTGTGTGTGTGTGTGTGTGTGTGTGTGTGTGTGTGTGTGTCTGTGTGTGTGTGTGTGTGTGTGTCTGTGTGTGTGTGTGTGTGTGTGTGTGTGTTGTGTGTGTGTGTGTGTGTGTGTGGGTGTGTGTGTGTGGTGTGTGTGTGTGTGTGTGTGTGTGTGTGTGTGTGTGTGTGTCTGTGTGTGTGTGTGTGTGTGTGTGTGTGTGTGTGTTGTGTGTGTCTGTGTGTTGTGTGTGTGTGTGTGTGTGTGTGTGTGTGTGTGTGTGTGTGTGTGTGTGTGTGTGTGTGTGTGTGTGTGTGTGTGTGTGTGTGTGTGTGTGTGTGTGTGTGTCTGTGTGTGTGTGTGTGTGTGTGTGTGTGTGTCTGTGTGTGTGTGTGTGTGTGTGTGTGTGTGTGTGTGTGTGTGTGTGTCTGTGTGTGTTGTGTGTGTGTGTGTGTGTGTGTGTGTTGTGTGTGTGTGTGTGTGTGTGTGTGTGTGTGTGTGTGTGTGTCTGTGTGTGTGTGTGTGTGTGTGTGTCTGTGTGTATAATATTGTGCGTTTGTTTCAGGTTTTGACATGATGCAGGCCTTCGGTTTGACTCCGGCGTCTCACTCGTCTGTGGACGGAGTTTCTGCTGAACCTTTTGTCTTCACCTCTCTGCCCTCGTACTCGCTCCGCCGCAACGCCCAGCTCACCCACAGCACCCGGTATGACACCCGCAGCACCCAGAGCACCCACACAGCACCCACACAGCACCCACACAGCACCCACAGCACCCACACAGCACCCACACAGCACCCACACAGCACCACACAGCACTCACACAACACCCACAGCACCCACAGCACCCACACAGCACCCACACAGCACCACACACAGCACCCACACAGCACCCACACAGCACCCCACAGCACCCACAGCACCCACAGCAATCACACAACACCCACAGCACCCACAGCACCACAGCACCACACAGCACCACAGCACCACACACCCACACAGCACACACACACAACACCCACAGCACACACACACAGCACACAGCACCCACAGCAGACCCACAGCACCCACAGCACCCACAGCACCACACAGCACCCACCACACCCACAGCACCACACACACAGCACACAGCACCACACAGCACCCACCCCAACACACACACCCACAGCACCCACACAGCACCACACAGCCACACAGCACACCACACAGCACCCCACCACACAGCACCCACAGCACCCACAGCACACACACACACAGCACCCACAGCACACACAGCACCCACAGCACCCACAGCACCCACACAGCACCCACACAGCACACACACCCACAGCACCCACAGCACCCAGCACACACCCACACAGCACCCACAGCACCCACAGCACCACACAGCACCCACAACACCCGACAGTATGACACCACACAGCACCCACAGCACCCACAGCACACCCACCCACAGCACCCACAGCACCCACAGCACAGACACCACAGCCCACACAGCACCCACAGCACCCACAGCACCCACACAACACCCACAGCACCACAGCACCCACATGACACCCACACACACACAGCACCCAGTATGACACCCACAGCACCCACAGTGGCAGGGTTGTGCGAGTCTGACCCTGCAGCTCTTTGAATGAAGTTAAAAACAAAAGGATCAGGTGAAGTGAGTGGGTTTTAAAAACACAGAGGAGCACCACCTGATGACATCACCAGGTGTAACAGAGTGTTGTGAGCTGTGCAGAGGGAGCAGGATCACTGAAACCTGTGATGTTTGTGAGGAGACACGATAACAGGGTTAAAGCCTCACTGTGGAACATTGTTATGTTCTCCCTCTCCTTCTAACACCCTGACTCCTCCCCCTCTCCCCTGACTCCTCCCCTCTCCCCTGACTCCTCCCCTCTCCCCCTGATCTCCCCTCTCCCCTGACTCCCCCCTCCCCCTCTCCCCCTGACTCCTCCCCTCTCCCCCTGACCCTCTCCCCTCCCCTCTCCCCTCTCCCCCTCTCTCCCTGACTCCTCCCCCTGACTCCCCCTCTCCCCCTGACTCCTCCCCTCTCCCTGACTCCTCCCCTCTCCCCTGACTCCTCCCCTCTCCCCCTGACTCCTCCCCTCCCCTGACTCCTCCCTGACTCCCCTCTCCCCTGACTCCTCCCCCTCTCCCCTGACTCCCCCTCTCCCCCTCTCCCTGACTCTCCCCTCTCCCCTGACTCCTCCCCCTCTCCCCTGACTCCTCCCTTCTCCCCCTGACTACTCCCCTCCCCTCTCTCCTCCCCCTCCCTGACTCCTCCCCTCTCCCCTGACTCCTCCCCTCTCCCCTGACTCCTCCCCTCTCCCCCTGACTCCTCCCCTCTCTCCCCTGACTCTCCCCCTCTCTCTCTGACTCCTCCCCCTCTCTCCCTCTGACTCCTCCCCTCACCTCTGACTCCTCCCCTTCCCTCTAACTCCTCCCCTCTCCCTCTGACTCCTCCCTCTCTTCAGTTTGCTCCACCCCCTGGGCCTGTCTCCTGACCACACCCTTAGCCTGACGCTCCGCCTCCTTCCGGACACGCCCCCCGAGCCCTTCGCCGTCTGGCAGATCACCGACATCGACCACGAGCCCAAGATGGGGCTCGTCCTGGACCGTGAGTCGCTTCATTTTACGATCGTCACGATAATCGAGACAAACGGGACTAAACTCAGCGGCGTCGGTTTGTGTTTCAGCGACGGTGAAACGTCTGATCTACTTCAGTCTGGATTATAGAGGAGAAGTTCAGGAGCTGAGCTTCGACCAGCCCCAAGTGCACAGGCTCTTCTACGACACCGACACGATCCACACCGACGCTCACACACGACACGACGCTCCACCGACGCTCACACGACCGACACCGACACGATCCACCGACACTCACACCGACACGATCCACCAACGCTCACACCGACACGACGCTCCACCAACGCTCACACCGACACGATCCACCGACGCTCACCGACACGACCACCGATCACACCGACACGCTCACACACGACACGACACTCCACCAACGCTCACACCGACACGATCCACCACCGACACACCGACACGACACATCCACCGACACTCACACCGACACGCTCACACGACACGCTCCACCAACGCTCACACCGACACACACCGACACGATCCACCAACGCTCACACCGACACGACGCTCCACCGACACATCCACGCTCACACCGACACGATCCACCGACGCTCACACCGACACGATCCACCAACGCTCACACCACCGACACGATCACACACACCGACCGATCCACACGCTCACACCGACACGATCCACCAACGCTCACACCGACACGACTCCACCAACGCTCACACACCGACACGCGATCCACAACCGACTCACACACGACACGATCCACCAACGCTCACCACGACACGATCCACGACACTCACACCGACACGATCTCACGACGCCACCGACACTCCACCAACGCTCACACGACACGACGCTCACCACCGACACGCTCCACCGACCACGCTACCGACACGACGCTCACACCACACGCTCACACCGACACACACCGACACGACATCCACCGCTCACACGCTCACACCGACACGATCCACCGACACGCTCACACCGACACGACGCTCACACCGACACGCTCACACCACCGACACGACCGCTCACACCACACGCTCACACCGACACGATCCACCGACCAACGCTCACACCGACACGATCCACCAACGCTCACACCGACACGACCGACACCCACCAACGCTCACACACGAACGCACGACTCACACCGACACGCTCACCACACGACCACGACACGCTCACACGACACGACACGTCCACCAACGCTCACACCGACCGATCCACCAACGCTCACACCGACACGATCCACACCAACGCTCACACCGACACGCTCCGACACATTCCACGTCACACCGACACCAACGCTCACGACGCTCACACCGACACGATCCACCGACGCTCACACCGACACGATCCACCGACGCTCACACCGACACGATCCACCGACGCTCCACACCGACACGACTCACACGCTCACACCGACACGCTCACACCGACACGATCCACCGACGCTCACACCGACACGATCCACCGACACTCACACGACACGCTCACACGACACGATCCACCAACGCTCACACCGACACACTCACACCGACACGCTCACATCGACACGATCCACCGACACGCTCACACCGACACACTCACACCGACACGCTCACACGACACGCTCACACCGACACGATCCACGCTCACACGAACACTCACACCGACACACGACTCACATCGACACGACACGACACGCTCACACCGACACGCTCACACCGACACACTCACCCCGCTCACACCGGACACGATCCACCAACGCTCACACCGACACGCTCACACCGACACGCTCACACCGACACGATCCACCAACGCTCACACCGACACGATCCACCAACGCTCACAGCTCACCCGACACGATCCACCAACGCTCACACCGACACGCTCACACCGACACGATCCACCAACGCTCACACCGACACGATCCACCAACCAACGCTCACACCGACACGATCCACCACAGGAGTTTAACTCTGGGACTTTAAATGTGGGTCCATGAGCAACACTCTGAAAGAGTGAAATATTTTTATTTTATTTACACGTTTTAAATCCTGAAGCGTTCATGAGTTTCCTGCAGGAGGCGCTGACATCATGAATTTTTTACTGGAACAAAAATCCTGAAACAAACACAAAAAAACGAGACGAGACGTTCAGAGCTTCTTTTGTTTTGGACAAAATGTCTCACCTGTCTGTGCTGAACATGCACCTGTCTCTCTCTCACCTGTCTGCCCCTGTCTGCTCCTGTCTGTTGCAGGTGCACCTGTCAGTGAGTCAGGTGTCAGTGTCTCTGTCTGTGGACTGTGAGCGCGTCGGGGAGCGGGCGGCTCGTCCGGCAGGTGCTCTGCCCACAGACGGGTTTGAGATGTTGGGAAAACTGACCCGGACCAGAGGCCCGAGGAGCGGCTCTGCCCCGGTAACACTGCACCTGCCTGCACCTGCCTGCACCTGTCTGCACCTATCTGACACCTGTCTGACACCTCTCTACACCTGCCTGCACCTGCCTGCACCTGCCTGCACCTGTCTGCACCTGCCTGCACCTGTCTGTACCTGTCTGCACCTGTCTACACCTGTCTGACACCTGTCTACACCTGTCTGTATCTGCCTGCACCTGCCTGCACCTGCCTGCACCTCTCTACACCTGCCTGCACCTGCCTGCACCTGTCTGCACCTGTCTGCACCTGTCTGTACCTGTCTGCACCTGTCTGACACCTGTCTACACCTGTCTGTATCTGCCTGCACCTGCCTGCACCTGTCTACACCTGTCTGCACCTGTCTGTACCTGTCTGACACCTGCCTGACACCTGCCTGACACCTGTCTACACCTGTCTGTACCTGCCTGCACCTGCGTGCACCTGCCTGCACCTGTCTACACCTGTCTGCACCTGCCTGCACCTGTCTGCACCTGTCACAGTAGTAAACTGGAGATTAAAAGTTTGTTTTGATGTTTTTTTTAGACAGATTTTTACAGATTTTTCTTTAAATTAAATTCTGTGAAAATGAAAATGACTCAGAGTCGAGTTGAGGCTCGAAAATGAAACTCAAACATTAAAACAAACGTGAGTCTCACACATTGAAAACTTCCACACACCTGAGGCTCTACAAAAAAAACACTGCAGCAGAATCGTGTGTGTGTCATGTGTGTGTCGTGTGTGTGTGTGTGTGTGTGTGTGTCGCGTGTGTGTGTGTGTGTGTGTGTCGTGTGTGTGTCGCGTGTGTGTGTGTCGTGTGTGTGTGTGTGTGTGTGTGTGTGTGTGTGTGTGTGTGTGTGTGTGCGTGTGTGTGTCGCGTGTGTGTGTGTGTGTGTGTGTGTCGTGTGTGTGTGTGTGTGTGTGTGTGTGTGTGTGTCGTGTGTGTGTCGTGTGTGTGTGTGTGTCGTGTGTGTGTCGTGTGTGTGTGTCGTGTGTGTGTGTGTGTGTGTGTGTGTCGTGTGTGTGTGTCGTGTGTGTGTGTGTGTGTGTCGTTGTGTGTGTGTGTGTGTGTGTCGTGTTGTGTGTGTGTGTGTGTTTATGTGTTGTGTGTGTCGTGTGTGTGTGTCGTGTTATGCGTTTGTGTGTGTTGTGTGTGTGTCGTGTGGTGTGTGTCTGTGTGTGTGTGTGTGTGTCGTGTGTGTCGTGTGTGTGTGTCGTGTGTGTGTGTGTGTCGTGTGTGTGTGTCGTGTGTGTGTGTGTCGTGTGTGTGTCGTGTGTGTGTGTCGTGTGTGTGTCGTGTGTGAGTCGTGTGTGTGTCGTGTGTGTGTGTGTGTGTGTGTGTTGTGTGTGTGTGTGTCGTGTGTTGTGTGTGTGTGTGTGTGTGTGTGTGTCGTGTGTGTGTGTGTGTGTGTGTCGTGTCGTGTGTGTCGTGTGTGTCGTGTGTGTGTGTGTGTGTGTGTGTCGTGTGTGTTGTCGTGTGTGAGTGTGTGTGTGTGTGTGTGTGTGTGTGTGTGTGTGTGTCGTGTGTGTGTGTGTGCGTGTGTGTGTGTGTGTGTGTGTGTGTGTGTGTGTGTGTCGTGTGTGTGTGTCGTGTGTGTGTGTGTGTGTGTGTCGTGTGTGTCGTGTGTGTGTCGTGTGTGTGTGTGTGTGTCGTGTGTGTGTGTGTGTGTGTGTGTGTGTCGTGTTGTGTGTGTGTGTGTGTCGTGTGTGTGTGTGTGTCATGTGTGTGTCGTGTGTGTGTTGTGTGTGTGTCGTGTGTATGTGTGACAGCGCCCTCCTCTGGTGGACTGAGTTGTTCACACACAGACTCTGAGCCCGTCTCTGTACCTGCACTCTTTTCTCTCCGTCTGTTTCTCTCCGTCTGTTTCTCTCCGTCTGTTTCACTCTTTCTTTCTCTTTCTCTTGTGTCTCTTGTTCAGTTTCAGCTGCAGAGTTTTGAGATCATCTGTAACACCACCTGGTCCTCAGAAGACACCTGCTGTGACCTGCCCGCTCAGGTCAGACCCTCCGACAGGACCACACACCTGTCACTCACACACACACCTGTCACACATGCACCTGTCACTCACACACCTGTCACACATGCACATGTCACTCACACACCTGTCACACATGCACATGTCACTCACACACACACCTGTCACACACACCTGTCACACACACACCTGTCACTCACACACACACACCTGTCACACACACACCTGTCACACATGCACATGTCACTCACACACACACCTGTCACACACACCTGTCACACACACACCTGTCACTCACACACACACACCTGTCACACACACCTGTCACACATGCACATGTCACTCACACACACACCTGTCACACACACACCTGTCACACACACCTGTCACACACCTGTCACACACACACCTGTCACACACACACCTGTCACACACACACACCTGTCACACACACACCTGTTACTCACACACACACCTGTTACTCACACACACACCTGTCACCCACACACCTGTCACTCACACACCTGTCACACATACCTGTCACACACACCTGTCACTCACACACCTGTCACTCACACACGCACCTGTCACTCACACACCTGTCACTCACACACCTGTCACACATCTGTCTTATTGTGTTACCTGTCTGTCTGTATGTGTGTGTGTGTCCGTGTGTGTGTCCGTGTGTGTGTATTACCTGTGTGTGTGTGTTTTACAGAGAGATGAGGAGAGTTGTCCTGCCCTGCCGTTCTCCTGCACCTGCTCCTCCGACACACCTGGAGCCCCCGGACCCCCCGGAGCAAATGTAACACACAAACACACACACACACAAACGCACAAACACAAACACACACACACACACAAACGCACAAACACACACACACACACAAACGCACAAACACACACACACACACAAATGCACAAACACCAACGCACAAACACAAACACACACACACACTCACACGACTTGTGAGTTGTTAGGACCACAGACTGGACACACCTGGACAGATCTGACTCACTAACTGCAGATTTTAGACACGACTCTCTGTGTCTCTGTGTCTCTGTGTGTCTCTGTGTCTCTGTGTCTCTGTGTGTCTCGATGTGACTCGATGTGACTCGGTGTCTCTGTGTGACTCGGTGTCTCTGTGTCTCTGTGTGTCTCGGTGTGACTCGGTGTCTCTGTGTGACTCGATGTGACTCGATGTGTCTCTGTGTGACTCGATGTCTCTGTGTGTTCAGGGTCGCCCAGGTCCTCGAGGGGAGAAGGGGGAGAAGGGAGAGCCTGGTGTGAAGGTGAGTGAGCTGAGTGCTGGCAGAGTGGTTAGCCCCTCACAGTCACAGGGTTCTGGTTCTCAGGGTTTAAATTCTGTGTCATAAAACTGGACGGTGCCTCGAGTCCGAGTCTGTGTGTTTGAGTTCAGACGCCCAAGACGTGTTTCGGCGCCGTGAACCAACGGGAGAAAAACACCTGAGTCTCGTCCAGAGCGTCGCTGTCGTCTGAGCG